TTTTTAAATTTGACATTTTATTTAAAATTGTATTTTATAATTTATATTGAATATATATTCTTTATAGTAAATGTTCAATATATTTAAATACATTTAAATGTGTATATTCGGATCACTTCAAGCTCAAAGTTCAGCCCTTTGCACCAGAAAGGGGCGTGTTTTCGCTGACAACTGGGCGGGGCTTAGATGACGTCATCGGAGTAAACAGAAAAGATGGCGACGCCGTACACGGGAGATCGGGGTTTAGGGACAAACGCTGTTATTTCAGAAAGTTTCGCCAAACGGTTAACCGATTTACCGGCGGAATTATTAGAGCATATATTGTGCTTCCGCGTTCTAAACCATATCGACATTTGCAACGTTTCCTGCACGTGCAAGAGGCTGCATGACGTGTGCCATGGCAGGGGAAAGGTCTGGGCGCATCAGTACAAACTCAGGTGGCATAAATTAAAAACATTTCTAAATGTTGCTTGATACCTCCATCGACCTCCAGTTTATCAAACCATAAGAAATGCGTTTGATCCCCGATAGGCGGTTTAAGACGTGCATTTAGCTGTCAGGTCGTGTTCTCATTCTGCTGATGCACCAAATCTGTCCTGTGTGCACATGCAGAGATGCATATGTGATCATTCATTTTTATAGGCTCGCCTCCTATATGTTGGGGGGGACTAAATGCACTTATAATTGTTGATAATGTTAAGTGACATTGAACACAGAATTGCATGATATTCTGATGTGCTCATAATAAATCATATAAATTAACCCCTTAACTGTCACTCACATTTTTGAACACAGACGTGAAAGTGCACGATCCACACTTACATTTGTATAATTCATGAACGAAAACATTTTGTAACATGATATTGACGTACCGTTTTCGTGGTAATGCAATGTTTGATTTTAAAATGGGTTTCAAAGGATGCATTTTGAGATTTAAAGTTTTCAATTGATGTATCATTTCTAAAGTGTGATGAGAAAAAGGCAACAAAGAAGACTTTTTTTTTTGACAAAGGTCAGAACTCCTGTTATGATGTAGATTTTTGAGGTGCGCCCTTGTCAAAAATGTATATTACTTTTCCTACATAATTTTTTAACAAAAACATTGGTCAAATATCTATTTAGGAGTCTTAGACCTTTCCAACGATATATAGTTTGTCATGATTAGATTAGGATTTCATTGTAATATAGTGAAGTAAACGTAGGCGTCCCACAGAGGGGACGGGTGACAGTTAAGGGGTTTTAAAACAGAAGTTAACATGAGCTTCTTTAAATAGAAGTATGGTTGTAAGATTATTACATTTAGAGTTATTATAGTAACAACAACTACTTACTCTTGTGTTTTTTAGCAGATACTTGTAAATTACAGCGTTTAGGTAGATTTTGCATCAAACTGAATTGACAAAATGTACCCTCTACTAAAGTATTTGTTTATTTATGTCTTTTTTTTCTTTTAATAAGACGCACAACATTACACTAGCCCCATTTAAGGAATAGGTTTAACATATTTGCCATCCCCCTTTTGCAAGGTCAAACATTATTGTTGTGTCATTAATATTTTAGGTGGCCCAGGCTGCAGAGATTTTATCAGCAAAATGAGTCATACGATTGGCTGAAAGAATTCAAAACCCGGCACGTGGTTGGTCAACAGATAAGAAGAACAGTAGAGTCTATTTCCAAGAGGTTCTTCACAGAAGTTGTGAGTGGCTTTAAAAGAGACTCAATTACAAAGCAGTTGATCATTCTCTCAAAAATTGTAATCTTTTTGGTATGGTCGTTACGCTACGGTTGGATGGGTATATTTGTACGGTAAGTTGGATTGAATCATTTGCTTTAGTCACTAACCCAGAGACCTGTAACTCAGCCTTGCGTTGGTCAGGTTCTTGGAGACAGCTTTGCGGAAATCGATTCTCTAGGTGCTCCAGAACACTTCTGTGAGGATGAGCTGCTTGGCATTTTGAACTCGGACAAAAGGTTAGAAAGGAGCTCACGATTATGCTATTTTATTTTCCTCTTAACACTTAATGGTTTAACTGAATGAATGCATTTCCTTCTTTCCCAGGAAATGTTTGACACTTAAGTACTATGCGAAGAAAATCCTGTACTTCCTCCGGCAGCAGAACATTCTGAGGAATTTGAAGGTTTTCCTTGAGAGACCACCAGAACAACAATCAGCCCTTGAAGGTAAGCTGATGTCTCACAAAAGAAGAAATGTTTTATTTCTTATTAAAAGAGTAATTCACCCAAAAATTCTAATTTGCTGAAAATTGAGCAGATTTGGAGAAATTTAGCGTCACTTGCTCACCAGTGGATCCTCTGCAGTGAATGGGTGCCGTCAGAATGAGAGTCCAAACAGCTGATAAAAACATTAGAATAATCCACAAGCGATCCACACGACTCCAGTCCATCAGTTAAACATCTTGTTTGTAAGAAACAGATTTTGGGTGAACTATTCCTTTAATGGAAAAATGGTAAATAATTACTTCATAATGCTTTACCTTACCAGCGACAAGGCCAAATGATAATATATGTTGTGCTGTAACTGTTATCATATATAATAATCATAGCTCAAATACATGTATGATGAATTTGAAACACGTGTGCTGCATACTGAGCTTTGTAATATTATCAAAAATGTTCATACACATCACAATATTCGCAATGAAATTTGTCAGTGTGCACAGGAAAGGTCGACTCCTCACTATATTATTATGGATGATTGAGGTTCAACAATGTTTAGATCAGTGATGTACATCAAATAACACACGTCCGTTTGTTTGATCTCCAATTCTAGGTGCTGTTTTGATCGATCAGTATTGCAACCCTCTGGTTGATATCACTCTTGAGAGCATATCTGCGCAGATAGAAGAAATCGCTGACAAGGTGAAGAAGTATCTACGAGTAAAAAATGCCACACACCCAAGTCTACGAGCCAGTCAAGGTCAGTGCGCAAGAAGAGATCCGGAAAATTCAATTGACTATTCTCATGAGGTCTATTAGTCAGACCTGTGTAGTCAGGCTTATGTTCTTATGATAAAAGCTTTCAGCTTGATGTTGATAAAATAAATGTCTTGAAGGTCTCTTAGTTTAATTTTCAACATCTGCTTTGGACTGCATTGGGCAACCATAATAGCATTGTTGTTCTTAAAGCTGTAGCATCCAACATGTGTCTTCACTGGAATGTTTTTCCAGGTGACTGCTTTGTTCTGGAAAACCTGGAGTTTCAAAGGCAAGTCATATGTGCTCTGAATGCTGTGCTGTATGACCAGCTGCAGTACAAGGGCAATGAGCGTGACTACTACAATCCACTCAACTCATACATACATCAGGTATCATATCATATCATAGATATCATAAGTTAGGCAGGTCTGGATAACCAGTGTCAGGGGCAATGCATTATATAATTATGTAACATGCATTACATAAACATTTTTTTTCAAGTACCATGTATTTTTGAATTATTATTATTTTTGTGAAATAAGTAACATTACTAATATATATACAATTTATTCAAAGAATACAGCTGTAAGCATTTTATGATTTATTATAGGATGAGTAATTAAATTTTAAATGTCTTTTAATTTAAACTTTTCATATAGTTATTTTTTATTATTATTTGATGAATGGCAAGTTAATGGTAAAACAGTGTTTATTTGAAATAAAAGTTTTTTTGTAACAATGGAAATCTTTACCGTCACTTTTGACCAATTGAATGTGTCCCTGCTGAATAAAAGTATTAATTCCTTTAAAAAAGTCTACTGACCTCAAACTTTGAATGTTAGTGCATTTGGTGGTGATAAGCACTTATTTAAAGCAAAATCAAAAATATATTATGTATAAGAAAAAACACTTTTGATACAAAAACAAATCCACAAAACACTAAAGTAATTTAACATGTTACTATTTAATTATGTCCATATAATTGTGCTAAAAATAAAATAAAAATACTTTGTACTGAATGTGTACAAGTTTTAAAATTTAGACAGAAATGTACTTTATTTCTCACAATGTGCCCCCTTGTGGTCAGGTGCTGCTCCGTCGGACAGGCATTCCCATCAGCCTCTCTGTGCTTTACATGACTCTGGCCAGGAAGTTAGGAGTTCCTCTGGAACCTGTCAACTTCCCCAACCATTTCCTACTCCGCTGGTGCCAAAATCAAAGGAGGTGGGCGTTTAACACATTCTATTGCAGTCTGTCAGAATGAAATTACATAGCAAACCCCAGTCAGTTTCAAGTCAAATGTATTGTTATAGCTCTGTTTACAATACACATTGTTACAAAAATAATGATGTTAATGTTTATGATATCTTCATATCTCACTGCCACATTTAGAGCTGTGAAATAGTGTAGTTTACATTTTGCAGTGATACAAGCAATCAAGCAGTTGAGATTTGCTTTATAGTAGCCTATATATTGCCCTGTGTGAGTATACTGTGTACATGCGGATAAAGTTGGACATATATTTCCAACTTTATATAAAGTGCTGGACGACAATATCATTTTTATTTTGCATCCAAGATTTGCTACATAGTATATGTGAACATACTGTTAAGTAGGATGTACTATATATCCAATTTATCGCCGAGCAATAATATAGTTTACGTTTTCTGACAATATAACAATAATCTCAAACAATAGTGCTGTGCTTGCATTAAAAATAAAACAACAGTGTAAGTTGACTAATGAGTTGTTTTGCAGGAGTGAGGACATCTACGACTATGTATACATTGACACGTTTGGGAAAGGAAAGCAGCTGGCTGCTAAAGAGTGTGAGAATCTGATCCGACACCAGGTGGGAGCAGATTACTACAGCGCTATAAGCACCGGCGAGCTGCTGCTGCGGATGGTGGGAAACCTACTTAACATCGGCAAAAGAGGGTGAGAATCACACATGCATTTTGATTACTTTAAATGAGTCAGTGTGTTGTGAAATGTTGTTTATATTCATATTGTTGTACTGTTGTCTAATGATCGTTGCCTTAAAGCTCTGCACTTAAAGTTTTATTGATAATGAAGGAGGTGTTTAAAAGACTTGTTTCATGCTGCTTGTATGCTCATTAGTAAGCCAGTCAGGGAATTCTGCAGTTTTAGACAGTGTTTTATGTAAATAAAATCAATTTTCTTGGCTGTCAGCTGAAGTTGTCAGACCCACGTTTGTTACAAAATGTGCTTGCATTTGTGTTTTGTCTAGGGAAGGGAATGAGAAATCATATCAGCTCCTGCGGGACTCGCTGGATCTCTACCTCACTATCAACCCTGATAATGTGCAGTATCTTCTGCTGCAAGCCCGTCTCTACTTCCACCTGGGCATCTGGCCTGAGAAAGTGAGTTATATATACTATATATATATATATATATAGTTTTTATAATTATTAAAATAACTAAAGCTGAAATAAATAATCAAGTTAAACTAGCTGCAACTATCTGAAATACATTTTTTATTTTTTATTTTCTTTCCTTTTATTTCAGTTAATGAATCATTTAAAGGGGTCATATGATGCGATTTCATTTTTTCCTTTCTCTTTGGAGTGTTGCAAGCTATTGGTGCATAAAGAAGATCTGTAAAGTTGCAGACTAAAGTCTCAAATCCAAAGAGATAGGCTTTATAAAAGTTAAGAGTCAACCACGCCTACCTAAAACGCCTCGTTCTAACACGCCCCCACATGTCTACATCACGATGTGGGAAGATTTGCATAACGCCGCCCAAACGCAAAGAAAGAAGGCGTAACTTTTATTCTCGCTGTAGTATTGTTGTTGCCGCCGCCATGTCGTGAAGGCGCTGTGTGCTTGATTTCTCTCTCTCTGTCTCTCTCTATCTCAGGTGCTGGATATTCTACAGCATATCCAGGCTCTAGACCCGACTCAGCACGGAGCGGTCGGGTATCTGGTGCAGCATACACTCGAGCACATCCAGCATAAGAGGCACCCGGTAGAGCCGGAGGTGAAGAGACGCAGCGCGCCTGAGCACAGGGATGTACAGTACTCTGTAGGCCTCATCATGAAACATAAGAGGTGGGTTCCTGTTTGTGTGAGTGGTAAACTTATGAACTACATGGAATATGAAACTGAGAGCAGCCAGGGAAACGTCTATAAAAAGAAGTGATGCTAATTTGTAACTAATAATAATAAACACCTGTCGTTACTTCATTTCTCCAGGTGGACCTCATATTGATGATGCAAACATACTACAGTCCTGGGCCAAATAATACAAAGTTAAATCAGACTATTATTGGCACAGGATGGCAATGCAATCTTGATTTCAAACCAAAACGTTTTAATGCTTTGCATAACTTTAGGTAGACTGTAGATGAACCATGCATTTATATTTAATACTTGTGACCCTGGACCACCAAACCAGTCATTAGGGTCAATTGTATGAAATTGAGATTTATACATCGTATGGATAAATAAGCTTTACATTGATGTATGGTTTGTTAGGATAGGACAATATTTGGCCGAGGTGCAACTATTTGAAAATCTGGGGGTGCAAAAAAATCAGAATATTGAGAAAATCGCCTTTAAAGGAACACTCCACTATTTTTGAAAATAGGCTCATTTTCCAACTCCCCTAGAGTTAAACAGTTGAGTTTTACCGTTTTCGAATCCATTCAGCCGATCTCCGGGTCTGGCGGTGGAACTTTTAGCTGAAGCTTAGCATAGATCATTGATTCTGATTAGACCGTTAGCATCTCACTCAAAAATGACCAAAGAGTTTCGATATTTTTCCTATTTAAAACTTAACTCTTCTGTAGTTACATCTCTTCTGTAGTTACATCGTGTACTAAAATCGACGGAAAATGAAAAGTTGCGATTTTCTAGGCCGATATGGCTAGGAACTATACTCTCATTCTGGTGTTATAATCAAGGAACTTTGCTGCCGTACCATGGGTGCAGCAGGCCTAGCCATATCGGCCTAGAAAATTGCAACTTTTAATTTTCCATCGGTCTTAGTACACGATGTAGCTACAGAAGAGTCAAGTTTTAAATAGCAAACATATCGAAACTCTTTGGTCATTTTTGAGCGAGATGCTAACGGTCTAATCAGATTCAATGATCTATGCTAAGCTACAGCTAAAAGTGCTACCGCCAGACCCGGAGATCGGCTGAATGGATTCGAAATCGGTAAAACTCAACTGTTGATGATGCCAAATTGAGCCAAAAATAGTGGAGTATTCCTTTAAAGGTGTCCAAATGAAGATCTTAGCAATGCATATTACTAATCAAATATGAAGTTTTGATATATTTATGGTACAAAATGTACAAAATATCTTCATGGAACATGATCTTTACTTAATATCCTAATGATTTTTGGCACACAAAAAAAATCTATAATTTTGACCCATACAATGTATTGTTGGCTATTGCTACAAATATAACCGTGCTACTTATGACTGGTTTTGTGCTCCAGGGTCACATTTAATATTCACAAACTGATGTCTCTCATAGGTCAGGCTACAACTGCGTTATCTACGGGTGGGACCCTAAATGCACCATGAGTCAGGAGTGGATTAACACTATGAGGGTCCATCAGCTGTCTAAGGGGGCTGATCAGCCATTCTACAACGTCTTAGTTCAGGATGGGACATGTAGATATGCTGCGCAAGGTGAGTTTTTCCATTGATCCAAGATTTAAGCAATGGAAATGACTCTATCTAACAAAGTTTTAGGTTGTGCATATACTTTTGCAGACTGGTTTATCATCACTTTCTGGTATCTGAAAACTAGGTCTTTGTCCTAATTGCTCTCAATTTCATCAGCATCAGTGAATCATTTCTTTTGGGGCAAATGGGTGAGGTCGTAATTGATTCGAGACAATTGCAGTCTTAAAATAAAAAAAGAAACCCTCACTTTCTCTTTTCGTTTGCAGAGAATCTGGAGCCTCACTCCGCCCCGCTGGAGATCGCTCACCCTGAGGTCGGCCGCTACTTCACAGAGTTCTCTGACACACACTACATCGCTAATGAAGAGCTCCAAGCGCGTTACCCAGAGGACATGTGCAAGACCCACAGGACTGTAGAGGAGCTCTACCACGGTCTCAACCCCAACTCAGGGCTGTCACCGGAGCCCACCGCCAACTTCCAGGACCACGATTTGTTAGATCCGTAGAGAAGAATGCCACCTCCTTGCCTCCCTCCCCACTATAGATGCGTAATGTCATTCACTTTCTCCTGAACTGTTAAGGGACTAGAGTTAAGGGACAAGTTAAAGGAATAGTTCACCCAAAAATGAAAATTTGCTGAACATTTACTCACCCTCAGGCCTTCCAAGATGTAGATGAGTTTGTTTCTTCATCAGAACAGATTTGGAGGAATGTCGCATTACATCTCTTGCTCACCAATGAATCATCTGCAGTGAATGGGTGCCGTCAGAATGAGAGTCCAAACATCTGATAAAAACATCACAATTACCCACAAGTAATCCGCACATCTCCAGTCCATCAATCAATGTCTTGTGAAATGAAAAGCTGCATATTTGTAAGAAACAAATGCATCAAGATGTTTTAACTATAAACCATCACTTCTAGGCAAATTACGAGTCCATAATCCAAAATAATGCATTGTCCAGTGAAAAAGTTAATTCCCTATTGTCTCTGAAATCAAAATCCACTGACAGAACTGTTTTAAATTTGGATTTCATTGGAGATGGCAATTTTATAGATAAAAAACCTCTTAATGATGCATTTGTTTCTTACAAGCATGCAGATTTTCACTTCACATGGCATTAATTGATAGAATGGAGATGTGTGGATTATTGCAATGTTTTTCTCAGCTGTTTGGACTCTCATTCTGACGGCACCCATTCACTGCAGAGGATCCAAGTGATGTAATGCTAAATTTATCCAAATCTGTTCTGATGAAGAAACAAACTCATCTACATCTCGGATGGCCTGATGATGAGTACATTTTCATATTTGCATGAACAATTCCTTTAAGACAACATCTTGGTCCTAGATTAGTTTTAAGCGCAACTCTGAGCCAGAGCTGCAAATGTAGTCTAAGCTGAAAGAAACTACACGTGTTGTATTTGAGTGGTTGAGTATAAATGATGTGGTTGAGTTACAGTATTTGTGCAGATACAAAATATACTTTAGATAGTATGTATAGACTATGTGAACTTTACTACACTACACAGGGTCTGAGAATATGTGTGTTGATGACCAGGCCCGTTCCTTATGCCATCAGTCATAACACATCTCACTGAACTAATGCACTAATGTCACATATGTTAACTAACATGCACTTGACATGAAGTAAAATGTCTAAAGCTGTCACCTTAAAATATTTTGTAATCTTTATTTCAAAGTTATAAAAAAAAAGAAAGAAAAAACCTAGAGAACAAGGGCTCAAGGAATTCTTGGCTCATAGTGGTTGTAAATGCAAAGGTATTGAGAATATAAGAGAATGCATCGCAATAAAAGAATAAGCACTACTTTGTTGGTCTGGTTATTTCTTTATAATTGTATTTTTATAACTTATCTACTTGCTTTGTAAGTGTAGAGATTTTATATAGCTAAATATTTAAATGTGTTCATCTAACTATGATTCCCTTCCAGATTGCCCAGGAATATGTAAATAAAATATTAATTTTCGTATATCTGCAAACGTTTGAGCACGTCTGCCCCAAACTTTATGACGCATTACTCTTAAGCAAACTGAATATTTCGAGGTCAAAATACAAATATAGGCAAATTTGTGGCATTGACCATGTGAAGCACAAGTTGCTCTTTGCAATATTCTTCAGTCATTCTGTAGAACATGATTGTCATGTCAGCTAGAGATACAAATCAAATATTAAAACGTGCTGGAATTTCATTTGTCAATGAAACATTTTACTTGAATTGCTATGCTGATTTAATTTTGCTGCATATTATGATGATTAGAAAAGAAGGCAAAATTGAAGCATTGTCACTAGTCGCCTCTGATTAATGTTCCCCTGTTCTGTTTTAACATGCACTGAACACCTTAAAGTGAAAGTTTGAGAATGAATGGCAAACAAGTCAGGGTGGTGTCCCTCTTGTATCCAAAGCAGAGTGTGTTTGCATTAACTGTAATACTCATCCAAAGTCAAACAACCTTAAATATTTATAATGCAAATATAAGCATCTACCACACTATACCTTAATCCTTTCTCTGGCTGCAGAAGACTGGGTGAATAGCACGAAAACATTATTTGACCTGTGATATTCGCATGAATAAGAAGAACAAAATAATATCTTTAAGAAATTGTAATCATACAAATTATTTTTAAATATTTTAATAATCATAAAATAATATTTCATGTATTTAATATATTTATTTATTTTATTTAAAATATGATTTTAATTCATTAATATACATTTTATACATTTCTATTAAAATAAGTATTATTCCATTTATTTACGACATTTATCTTTTTGACAACGACCCCAAATATCTGCTATGACAAGAAAGCGAAGATGTCTTCTTTTATACCTAACCCAAATGTCCATTTCTGGGTCTCAAAATAATTTTCAGACTCATAAAAAAAAGAAAAACGGACGAGAGACTCAGGTGTGTCACTGACGCGAATTTGCATATTTCATTAGCGGGCGGAGCTTGGCTATCAAAGTCTGAGGGACAAGTTGTGAAAGTTCTGACCATTCTTCACACGACTTTCTTTCTGATCTCTTCCGGACTTTAACATGGGAGCTTCTCAGTCTGGACGAGTGCATATGTTCCATGATCTGGCTGATAAAACTGGCTGTGAGTATCCATAAATCTTTTCAATGTGTAGACAGCGACATTTTTCAGGTGCTTAGAATATGTTTGTAAGTGACTTTACAGACAAAGTAGCATGGTACTGTGATAATATCAGAAGGTGGTACCATGGTAGTACTTCAAAGAATGTCATAGTACCAAAAAACATGGGCCATAATACCAAGGTGCGTTTTTTGACAATTTGAAGTTGTCCAAAAGTTGCTGCAATATATACATAATGTGTCTAAATTTTACAGTTCTTATATACAGCATGCTGTACATAGGCTCTAAAGTGATTAACCGTCGTTAACACTCACAACAGCCTAAATCTAATGAACCCAAAGTGTCACTCAGTTGGAATGTAGAAGTAGGAGGACTTTTGGAGAAGCACAAATAATCCCATTCATATCTATAATTGGGGAGAAGCATTTTCACAAGAGTTATTTACTGTACAGCTGTGAATGTGTGAATACCAAGCACATATTACACCGAGCAAATCTTCTCAAAACTAATTGTACTACCTCACAAAAAATAGAAAAGAATAGAACAGTAACGCTTTACAATAAGGTCCCATTCATTAACATGAATGCATTTTTGTTAGTTTAAAAAGACAAGTCTTCATTGTTTGTTCATGTTAGTTCACAATACATTGACCAATAGTTAAGTGTTGAAATTAACAAACTAAAAAATAAAACAAAATGATGTAAAAGTATTGTTAGTTGATGTTCACTAACTAATGTTAACAAATGAAACCTTATTGTGAAGTGTTACCATATAACTCTATTGTGTTCAAACGGCTGTAGGATAGTGTAAAAGTACAATATAGACAGACATGTAGCTTTCACTGCTATGTAAAACTTGAGTTTTTCTGGTTTTACTTGTTTTTCTGTCTTTTTCATTTCTTGTTTGTGTGTGTATGTGTGTAGTAACCTATAATTTACTTCAAGTCCTTTCCACATTCTCAGAAAAAAGGTACAAATCTGTCACTGGGCCGGCATCCTTTCAAATTGGACTAATATGTACACTTTAGGTACTAACACCTGCAGCACTCTCAAATTATTTCTCTTTTTTCCCACTCCCCCTGTCTGACTGGAAGAGGTGGAGGTACTGGTCTGCTTATCTCTAATGATTGGAAATGTAATCCTTTACCATCTCTGAGTATCAACAGCTCCTTTGAATCACATTCAGCCACTATTACCCACCCTCTTAAAATCCATTTTATAGTTGTTTATCGACCCCCAGGACCACTAGGTAACTTCGTGGAAGAATTAGATGTGCTGCTCTCAAACTTTCCTGAGGATGGTACTCCCCAAGTTATGCTTGGCGATTTCAACATCCACCTAGATAAACCTCAGGCTGCAGACTTCCACACTCTGCTTGCTTCTTTTGATCTCAAGCGAGTATTAACTACGGCTACTCACAAATTAGGCAACCAACTGGACCTTATGTACACACGACACTGCTCCACTGATCATGTGCTCGTTACTCCACTGCACACCTCGGATCACTTCCTCCTCACTCTTAACCTCAACATGGTTCCTGACACAACACATACCCCTACACATCACTTTTCGA